TGAGTCGGTCTTTCTGGCTCCGGGCCCGGTCTCTGCAGTTGCTGGGTGGACGCAGGCCGGGAAGGGTTCTGCAGCTGTTCCCTCCCAGCCTCAAGCTAGGCTAGGCTTGTGCTCTGGTGGCCTGTTTGGTTGGATTCCATCAGCCTTTTCTGCCTGAAACCCAAGCACCCCCACCCCACCCCGGACAGGTGGCCATTTTCCCATTTCCTTCTGTCACAACCTGACTGTTCCCCGAAACTGCTGGCTCAGAAGCGAAGAGGGAAAAGGCAAAACTCAGAAAGTGTCGCAGGGAATGGAACCCTAGAAATAAATGAATGAGTTTCCCTAATATGTCCACAGCATTGAGGCACGAGTGTGACTCAGCCCCAGGGACCTCGCCGCCCGTCTCCCTCACTGTGGAACCAGGCCCGTGCACGGTTTTGGGCATCGGCACTTTGGACCGGGTCATTCCTGGTGGGTGGGATGAAGGTGTGGTATGTTGAGTGCCATCCCTAGCCTCCACGCACTAGATGCCAGGACCACCACCCTCTTCCAAGTTGTGACAGCCAAGAACGTCTCTAGACACTGACAAGTGTCCCTTGGAGACCAAAATCACCCCTGCTTGAGAACCACTGGGCTCGTGGCCTCTCCCTTTCGTGAGTGTTGTGAACATCTTCAAAAAGGATTTTTCCTTCCTCTTTTTCTTCCTTGAGTCCCTCCTTCCCTCTTCGGGCTTATTTCCTCTCCTAGGATGAAGACATCAAATGAGAGGGTTCCTACAGTACCCATCCCTCCTGCTGGGCATGATGTCTAGGATTCTGTGGTTCTTCTCTGGGTCAAGGCGCAAACTCAGGCCTATTCCTCCAAACTCCAGGAGAAGGGAGCCTGGGCCCATTTTACAGATGGGGCATCTGGGGCAGGGAAGAGGCCAGGCGTCCCACTGGTGTTAAAGGAGGGCTCAGGCCACACAGAGGTGGATGCAGTCCCAAAGTCAGTGTCAAGGGGGCATTCCCCCAAAGACTGGTGGTGGGGGAGGCAAAAGAGGGAGGAACTGAAGGACATAGACCAGGGAGCTGGGACTGGCCAGCTGCTCCCCTCACCGGTTTCCTCTCTCCCCCGGGCTGGACTACATTTCCCATGTTCCATTGCTCTTAGAGATGTGACTGTGTTATTGAATTCCGGCCAACGGCACATGAGCAGAAGGGAAAGTCACAGCTTCCTGGTCCATTAAGCGTCCCCGCAAGTCTCCCCTATTCCCAAGATCGCCTGCCCTCTGTCTTCTCCTTCGGGCTGCTGGATGTTGATGTCAGGGTGACGTTGGAAGCCTAGGGTGAAGATGAATGAACCTCCACAGGATGGACTTTACCTCTGAAGGCCCAACCCCGCCCCATGGGTGGGACTGGCCATGAGTGAGAAGGAAACTTCTGTTGCATTAAGCCATTCTACGATGGGGGCCGGGGGAGTTCTGGTTATGCTGGTGGTCTGCTCTCCGTGATGCAAGTGGAGGGAAGAATGGGGGGCCGTTGTTGGGTCGGTTCTTGAATGCTGCAAATTAGGGGTCCGAGTTTTGAGTTGGCAGAAAGCTGTGACCACGTGAGCCCCATGTTGGAGGCATCGCATCCAGAGACTGCCGCGGGATTCCACCAGAATGGCTGCAAAGCTCATGCTGAGCCAGAGTTTCCTGAGGGCTAAGAATAAATTGGAGGCAGGGACATTTTGGCTCGTGGGGCTCGTGCTGGGCAGCATTGGCCCAGCCTGTCAGAGCCAGCAGCCTGAAGCTGGGCAGGGGCCCAGTCGGTGGGGGTGGGAGGTCGAATGCCCCTGGCCCCGGGACCTGGTGGCTTGTCTGGGACCTCCATCTCCCCACGTACCTATGTCAGGCAGGAGGACGGAGGGTCAGAAAGCCAGGGTTGAAAGATAGGACCTGCTGGGAGTGGTTTCTGTAGCCATTGGAGTGGGGACAGGGCACCCTTGCCCTCCCTTTGCTGGGACCAGGGTGAGAAAGGTCTTCTTGAGGCTCAGAGTTTAGTGCTTCTGGGTTCCAGGAGGAGCAGCAAAGCCTGGGGCTCTAGGAGGAAAACCCTCAGTCTGGGTCCTGGAAGACAGGAGAAGATATACTTGGATGTTGAAAGTCCCGTGGGCTGCCGCTCGGGTAGAACTGGGTAGGGGACCCTAATCATCCCCTCGTCACGGCTCCCGAGAGGGAAGGGCTGACAACCCGCCAGTGCTGGTCTGCGAAGGTGAAGGTGCCGGGTTACAGTGGGTGTCTGCTGTGACCAGACGGAAACTGTGACAGTATGTCATCGTTGCTCTGATCAGAGGGGTCACACCGTCCCTCTCTCTGACCCTGACCTCACTCCTCCTCAGTGGCTGGGGGTAGTGGTGGCTAGCTGCTGGGCCTGAGATTAGGTGGCCTGGTCCCTTGTGGCCTCCTGTCTGGCTTCACCAGTCATTTTGGTACTAGGCCCTCCTTTATTTCTTAAATCATGTCGGAATGTGGAGGGCAAAGGAGGCTGGATGCCTTAGAAACGCAGTCGGGCAGCATAGGGCCCCTGAGGCTATGGTTCCATCTGTCTGGCCACCGCCCTGCAGAATCCTGAAGACAGATCAGGCTTGCTCGGCTGCCTGGATGCCCCCACTGCTGCCTCAGGGTGGCCCGTCCACCTTCCAGCCCAGCTGTGAAAAGGCGCCTGGCCGGCACCGCCCAGCAGTCTGAAACCAGGTTAAAGCCGGAGAAACCCACCTTGACCAGCACAGAATCTGCCCTCCCTCTCCCTTCTCTGGGAGGCCCCACCGTGTCCCCCATACTCAGGGAGACACTGTTTGCTCTAAGTGCCCACCAAGACTTGAGGGGAGCTCTATCTACCCTTCCTCCCACCCCCACAGCAAGAAGAGAACATTTTAAAAATGTTTTTATTTAATTAAAAAAAAGACAGAACTAACAACCCAAAACCAGTAGTAGGTACAGGATTCACAGGTGCTTAACTGGCGAAACACACAGGGGCTGGTTGGAGAGGGCCATGGGGCGGGAGGGGGCGGGCATGGGCCACTGCGTCCGGCCCTGGACGCAAGGTCTCAGACCGACAGGTGGCAGGGAGCCGGCTCCGCACACGTCCCCGGGCACCCTCGGCTGAGAGGCTGTGAGCAGGAGGGGTGACCAGGGCCGAGGGGCCGGGAGCCCTGGGGGCATGGTGGGGAGCAAACCAATGAAGACCAGGGGCACTGAGGTGGTCCTGCTCCCTGCTCTTCTGTCCTCCTTTGTTGCCTCTTTTCTACACTTTTCTGGTCCCTAGAGCGGGCCCCACAGTCTCTGCCTGGGACTGGGCAAGAGGTAGGATTCATTGGAACACAGCTTTCTCCGTGAAATGATAGAAACCACCAAGGCAGCGGGTGTGGAGGTGGAGAAAGAGCACGGCTGCCCGGCTTTGGGAAGGGACAGAAGAGCCTGGGGACCTCGCTGGGGGATGGGCTCCCAGATTTTGCCCCCTTCCTTCGAGTCTGGTGCGATGGTGTCCTAGATGGGGGGCGGGGGCAGGCTGCCGAGGGCAGTCGGGGGTGGGGGCGGGATGGGGCCTGGGTTGGCCCCAGCAGGGTGGGCCACGAGCCCTGACACGCCATTATTCACGGCTGCACATGCTTGGACAAACCACCACACAAAGCCAACCTCAACAGGAGGAAGGGGTTTCGAGCAAGCACAAAAGGGTCCCCAGCACACGGTGCCTCCATGGGCCCACACTCTGGGGCGGTCAGGTGAGGGGTCCTCAGGGAGATGTCCTCTCGGGGCGGGGGGCGGTGAAGGACGATGGAGGTGACCATGACCCAGATCTGAACTCCTAAGGGCTGAGTCCACCCAGGGGGTAGGGCTGGGGGAGGGGGTTGTCGCTGAGCAGGTGGCTGAGGTAAGAATTTGCTTGTCACTTCTAAGGATGACAGCTACTGGGACCACAGACGACCGCTCGAAGTGGGATTACCAAGTCTCAAAAAGTAAGAAAGGATTTGTCTTTAGAAAGCACGTGTTTGATATAAAAGAGGGCGAGCTCCCTGTTCCAGAAAGTTTGGCTTCTCAACCCACACACGCTTCCATGTTTTCCGCTTGCTTCAGGAGGGGAAGGGATGGTCGCGGATGGAAAGAATGTCAAACATGGAGTCGCCTCCCTGGCCCCCCGGGGCTGGGACGTCCCTCTCATGAGGAGGGAGGACAGCACGGTATGGCCTTTCCGTCCAAATGTTCTCGGCTGAGCCCTTCAAGGGGGTGGCAGAAAGAATCACAATCCTAGGCCTTTTTAAGATGAAGAAATGAATGTCACTTGCTTTCCTGGCCTTCATTGACAATCAATCATGATTAATGACTGTTTAGGAAATGGACGTTTGATCTGATTTTTTGGTCGCTATTTACCCTTGGGTCTCCTTTCTTGCTCAGAATTTCAGGCTCCTGTTGCCAAATACCAGTGTGTGTTTGGGGCTGGGGGCGGGGGGTCTGCCCCTCCCTCTCCCCGAGGAGGGACAGAGCAGCTCCTCAGGTCAGTGGGGAGCAACCTATGGCCACCTTTCCTCAGACCCGTGGAATCTTCCAAACTCTCAAGTACCAGAAACTTCTACAAGCGGATAGGAATGCCAGCGACAGGCTCCGGCTTTTACCTCACCGCCCCGGCCAGCGAAGGCCTCCCCCTCTGCGGATTCTTCCACAGGCCTTGGTCTCCTCAGGTTGAGGGAAGCTGGCCCCAGGACAGCACAAAGGCCAAAGCACCAGTTGGCCACAGGGCTTTCTCCTCAGGATTACTGTTATTTCAACAACTGGCCACTGCCAGAGAGAGAGAGAGAGGGAGAAAGAGAAAGGGCGCTCGATAGACAGGAAGGGGGCAAGCTCCGGCTTCCTTGTTTCCCACTCAGGGACTCGGAAACCTCAGATCAGAAAGCAGCAGACCAGTGTCCAAAGGTCCCTGTATGCCCGGTGAGGCCCTCCCAGTGGCCCAGCACCCAGGCAGGCAGCGGGGGGTGGACCCCAAAAGCCCATTCTTCTGGCAAAATTTTTTTCTGAGAGGAGATAATGGCTCGATTTTGTCTTCCCCAGGGGGTCACTCCAGGCCGTGCAGCCTCAGGAGATTTCAGAATCCCGGGGCATCAAACATGCTCTCTGGGGACAGAGTCAGCCTTCCGCCTCCACTTCCCATCTCCCGGGTGGCTTGGCACCAAACCAGCCCGCGACACTTGCTGGAGACCAGGGAGGGGTGGGTTTGGCTTCCGTCCATCGTTGGTCCGTCTTAAGGGGCAGGTGCCCTCGTGTGGGATCCACACAGCGGTTCTGGGGACAGGCCGGCGCTGAGAGGAAGGGGCAGCTCACACAGGGGTCGTCCGCCGGTTCAGCATGCTGACGTGCAAGCCTTCCTTCAGGTCCTGCTGGAAGAAGTCGTGCACCTGCAGGAAGCTGGCCTCCTGGTCGGGGCTGTAGCTGGCGGCCGTGGTCACCTTGAGGGGCTCCCTGGACAGCGTGTACATGGACAGCTCGCCCATGGGGATGGCCCCGGTGATCTTCAGGCCCACCGGGGACGCCGCCCTGGAGGGAGAGGCTTCGGTGGACCTGGAGCTGGACCTCGAGCGCCGTCGCCGGTACCTGTAGCTCGGCATCCGGGCGTACGGAGATGAGGAGGGAGCCTTGAGGAACTCCCGTCTGGTCTTAAACCTCAACTCCTTATTTTTCTCAATGTAAATGTTTACAGCCAGGACTCCCACGGTCTCGGCCACAATGAAGGACAGGGCTCCAAAGTAAAAAGACCAACCGTAGTTGTAATGGTTTTTTTTGTCTTCGTCGCGCTTGTCGCTCGGGTCGCCGGTGTTGCTGGAAATGTAGACAATGATGCCTATGATGTTGCTGAGGCCTGAAAAAGAAGCAGAAGAGGGGGTGGGAGGGAGGGAGGCAGAGGTTAGACCCGCAGCTGGACCAGCGGAGGAGGGGGTGCTGGTGGCCACACTTCCCCAGACGGGCGCTGCTTTGTTCAGGTCGTGAACTTTTCTTTTAAGTTGTTTGTTTTGAAGGGGTAGTAGAGCAAGAGTTCGGATGAGGTGTGCAAAAAAATGGAGGCACGTAGTGGCCCAGGTCCCCTTCGGAAGGTGGCTACTATTTGTTTGTTTGTTCTTTTTTAAAGATTTTTATTTATTTATTTGAGAGAGAGAGTATGAGCAGGGGAAGCAGGAGAGGGAGAAGCAGACTCCCCACTGAGCAGGGAGCCCGATGCGGGGCTCCATCCCAGGATTCTGAAGACTATGACCTGAGCCGAAGGCAGACGCTTAACCGACTGAGCCACCCAGGGGTCCCTGTTTTTCTATCATTGTTATGTCCAGTCTCTCTTCCTCCCTCCCCATCTCTCTTACACACACACACACACACCCCTATTTTTTCTTTGCACAATACTCTTTGTACCTTTGCCTTTTTCTGGAACAGTCCCCCTGGCAGACGGTTCCACGTGAAGACAGAGAGAGCCGTCCGTCTTTCTGAGAGCCCGTGGCAGCCGCTGCACAGACATGTAACCGGGGCTCTACCACAGACGTCCAGGGAGCTCCCAGCCCTCTGTGGTGACAGAGTTGTCACAGACATCCTTGTGCCCACACCATCCCACACATGCACGACTACAACCGTGGGATGAATTCCTTGATGTTAAACCTCTGCCTCATCGGATATGTGCATTTCAAAGCTTAAAAATAAACTTTGGGGACATTAGACATAGTGAAAAGTTGTGAAGAGAATACAGAGAGCCCCTTTCTACCTCCTTGCCGGGTTTCCCCCGTGAACGGCTGATGTTACCGTGTATGTTTATCACAACCAGGGAACTCCCCGGTACATTACTACTCACTATTTACTTATTTGAGAGAGAGAGAGAGAGTAGGAGCAGGGGAAGTGGGAGAGGGAGAAGCAGACTCCCACTGAGCCCCCCTGTTGGCTGTCTCTGTTTGACTTGATCTTCCCAGAAGTGAGGTTCAGCAGAGCCAGGCTGCCTGGGTTTGAATCCGGTTCTACCAACGACCAGCCATGGAACTTTGGGCAAATAACTCAGCTTCCTGTGTCCCCATGGTACGCACTTCCCGGGGCAGATGGGAGGACTGAAGGGGCTGGTACATGCCAGTACTTAGCACAGCAGCCGGCACACGGTGAGACGGCTTTTCTGTTCTCTCGCCATCCGCTGTGTTTCACTGGGCAGTAACGTGTCATCTGGTCTAGGCACCACTGTGCCCTTTGCCCTCCCGCCTCCCGCAGTGTGGACGGTGAGCTCCAGGCCCTCCTGGCCTCTGGACCATACCTCTCCCCAGGCTCTGACCATTTCCCGCCTCAAATGGTTTCTGGGCCTAAATCACCTCACTGCTGGGGCTAGAGAGGCCTCAAGCTGGGGGCCCCATGTGTGACCCCTGGCCTGCCGTGGCCTTGGCCCATGATCAGAGCTTCCATAAACCAGGGAAAAAATGGGAACGAGTGGATGTCGCCTTGCTCGCCTGCCGGACTGCTCTTGTCCCTGCTTCCTCTCCCCTCTGGACCCATGTTTTTAGATGAGTGTCCCCGGGCTCCAGTGACCTGGAGCACTGGGTATGGTTCCTTCTGGGGAGATGGGCAGCTGCAGAGGGCACCTGACATGGGAGGCTGACAGCGCTGGGCACAGCCTGCGTCTCTACCACCAGATGATCTCAGGGAAGCCACCTGGGCCACCTGATGGCCTCCTCACAATCTAGGATGCTATGGTTGTGCTCACCGGGCACCGGGCACCGTGCCCCTAACGTGTGGTAGTGGGGGTTGGTGCAAATCTTCTTTCCCTTCCTTGGGGAGAGGAAAGGGGACAGGACTCAAACCTTATGGCAAGGATTTCTTTAACGGTTCATACCTTCAAAAAGCCAGGGACTTAAAGGAGGAGAGAGAATGGGGTGTACCCCTATCCTCCCACCTCTGCCCTTGGAGGGGACAAGAAGGAAAAGCATGGGGGCCGGGCCAAGAAGGAGGCTCTACACTCGGGCTCTCCTTGCCAACACACAAACACGCACACCCTGCACCCTTGACACACACACAGAGACACACACACATAGTATCAATTGCCTTGGAAAGACACAGATGTGGAAGGGATGTCGAGGCAGGATCATAAGAAGCTGGCCGAAAGACTTTAAGCCAGTGCCTTGACTGCTTTGGCCCGAAGTCACCTTCCTTCTCTCAGATAAACCACAAGGAGAGGACAAGATGAGGTCAGGCACCGGTAGGCCCTTCCACACCTGTCCCCACAGCCCCCCACCACCGTCCTCAGCGAAGGAAACTAGACCACCAAGGACCACCAGCGACCACCGCCATTGCTGGGATTCTCACTGTCCCCCTCATGGGACTACTGGGCTGTTTCAAGATGCAGAGCCCAGGCCAAGCTAGGGCTGCTTCACCAGACCGAGGGAAGAAATAAGATGCTTTGAAAGCAAGAACACTGTTACGGCCTAGCAGGAAGCCATGATAACAATTTAGGAAAGAATCACTGAATTCAGGGCCACCTGGGCGGTTCAGGTAAGCACCTGCCTTTGGCTCAGGTCATGATCCGAGAGTCCTGGGATCGAGCCCCGTGTCGGGTTTTCTGCTCAGTAGGGAGCCTGCGTCTCCCTCTGTCCCCCCATTCCTCGTGCTCTCTCTTGTTCTCTCTCTCTCTCAAATAAATAAATAAATAAAATCTTTATTAGAAAAAAAGAATCACTGAGCTTTGTAACACATCTCAAACTTACATACTAGAAGGCCTAAGACATTAGGCAGGTCCTGTATCTCCTGACAGGGACCCTTGTTGCAAGTTTATCTGAATCCCACAGGGGCTGCCCGGAGCCGTCAGGACGCCACTGGCTGGATTCGGCCCCGGCAGGAGCCCCCTCGAGACTCCCCTGGAGACTCGGGCCAGAAAACCCAGGGTTTGGTCCTGGACTGTGTATGGGCTCCCACTTCCGGTCCACACTTCTGCCAGGTCTGCAGTGGTAAGACATGAGTTGTGGTGTCTCCATCAAGAGGAGGGACGGTGTGAAGTCATTTGGGACCAGGTAGGCTGGGGGAGCGTGACGGTCACCCACGGCTCTGTGGGTTTTCACTGGGTCGTGGAGGGCGGTTCCGAGGTGCACCCTTGCCAGTAACGTATCCCCTTCACCCTGTCCTCACCTGGTCGGCTCCTTCAGGTCCTGGCTTCCGTTGAGCCCCTCTTGGTGCCCCCCTGGTCCCCCCCACTAACTCAGCCGGGCTTCCCCATCACAGGCTTCTGAGGCTCCAGCCCTGCCCCTCTGGGGCACTTTGCACACTTGGGCTTATTAATCTTTCTGGTCGAGGTGAAATTCACAGAACATAAATTAATCCTTTAAAGTGCACACGTCCATGGCTTAGAATGCCTCTGGAATGTCGTGCAGCCACCACCGCTCTCTAGGTCCAGAACATTGTTCATCACGCCAAGCGGAGACCCCGCGCCCCTTGAGCAGTTGCTGCCCACTCTCCGCTCCAGCCCCCTCCCACCTGGATGCCTGAAATCAATTTCGAGAAATAACTTTACACCTGCCCGCCCCCCCCTAAGCCATGCACGCACCAGGACGCAGACCCGGTGCGGGGGGACAGAGCTGGCGACTCACCCGCGGCCACAAAGAGGATGCCCGCGCTGAGGATGATGTTGTTCTTGTGGCTGTAGAACCTTCCAGCGCCGATGCAGAGCCCACCGAGAAGCAGCAGGATGGTACTGAGGATGGGGAAGACGCTGGAGGCGCGCACGATGCCTGGGTTGGGCAGGAGACAGAGGGGAGGGCAGTGAGAGGGGCTGCTGTCCTGGGCGTCGCCATGGGCACCGGCCAGGAGCCCTGAAGCTTGGGGCCCTTCCCCTGACCTTGAAGGTTCCCATCAGGGCCTGGAGACCACGGCGGATTGGGAGCTGGCTGGGTGGATGCCACTGGGCTAGACTCAAGGGATAGCCCAGGCTTGCTGGTTACTCCCTGCAGGATGCCAGGTGGCCTGGAGTCGCATCTGCTCACTTAGGCTCTCCCTGGGTGTGGGTCACACTTCAGACAGCCTGCAGGCGGGAGAGCCCCTCAGTGACATCTGGGAGCTGCAATGACAGTCATGAAAAGGCTGGTCTGCCTCCCATTCAAATGAGACCTCACAGGCCACGGAGCCTTTCACAGACACCATCTCTAAGAAGCCTCTGGAAGGCTGGGAAGTGGTGTCCACAAGAGGCCGCTCTGATGGGTAGGTGAGAACACAGGCTTTGGGGCATCAGACGGGCCTGGGTCTGCTCTGCGACGTGCTGGCTGTGTGGCCTGGGTCAAATCACTTCACCTAAAACTGAGCTCCCCCATTTCTAGAAAGCAGCTCACAGTGGTACCTACATCCTATGGTTGGTTTTGTACGAATAAGGGGCTTAGCCCAGGGCCTGGCCGTAGCACACCCTTCCTAGGGGAGCTTTTCTCTCCAGCCTTTTCATCACTGTCCTCAACCCCAGGTGACATGCGGAAGCACGGGACCTCCCGAGGTCACAGAGGACGAGGTAGCTACACAGAGTGGGACACGAGCGGACCCTGCCACCCAGCGGATCTCGGTCTGCACATTTGCTCCGCCCCCGATGAGGGGGATGGCCAGGGCCGTGGACTTCTGACAACGGCAGTCCCCTCCTTTATAACCCGGGGAGAGTAGTAATAACTATCTGTGGGGGTTGAATCCTTCCTGCCCCCAGATATGACCACGTCCCACCCACGGGAACCTACGAATGTGAGTTTTATTTGGATACAAGCTCTTTGAGGCCCTGATTAAATTAGGGATCTCAAGATGATACCATCCTAGATGAGGGGGGTCCCAAATCCAAGGACAAGTACCCTCGTAAGAGGAGGGAGAGAGACAAGCAGAAGACAAGGCGCCTAAGAGAGAAGACGCTTGAAGACAGAGACAGAGAAAGGGGTAAAGTGGCCCTAGGTCGAGGATAGCCGGGAGCCGCAGATGCTAGAGAGGCAAGGACAGCTTCTCCCCCAGGGCCCACGGAGGGAGCGGCAGCCCGGCCACCACCCCTTGAAGACTTCAGCTACCATGCCGTGAGAGAGTAAATTCCTGTCCTTTGAGGCCACCCAGCTCATGGCACTTTAACCTGGTGGCCCTAGGCAAAGAATGTACTCCCTCCACTTCGGAAGGGCTCCGGGAACCTGGGTCCCTCTTCCTTTGCATCTGGCTAGGAGGAAGGACAGGAGGAGCCCCGAGCTCAGCCTGCCTGATGCACCTGCCGGTCTCCCAGCCCAGGAGAAATCCTGGCTACAGGGACACTTGGTGGCCCCAGCAGGGGACAGTGAGCCCCGGAGCCCTGGCAGGCGCCAACTCCTGAGCCAGCTGAGGGAGTCTGTGGCCTCTCAGCCTCTGAAGGCAGCATTTGTCCCCTTCCTTGTAAGCCCGCCAGTGTGTGCCCTGCTTCACAGAGGGGGCTTTGTTGGGGGCATTAAATAAAGCTCTTCTCTCCAGGACCTCCTCCTCCTCCTTCCTCTGCCTTCTCGCAGCCACAGGCTCTGGGAGGAGGTTTCCCGTGGGCTTGGGAAACATGCCCCTGAGCCGTGCTAACCAGAAAAGTCTGATTTCAGCTCCCTCCAGACGTCCTTGTTCTGCAGACAGGTTGGAGGCTGGAGAGGAGGAAGCCTGGTTCCTCCAAGGTCCCTGAGGTCAGACTTGGCTCCGAGCCATCCACCCTGCCCAGGTAAGTCATGTGTGTACCTATCGTTTGCCGCACAGGCTCATCCCTGAGTTCTGGCTGTGCAGACACCAGCTGGGGTCGCTGTGGACAGTGGTATGAGTTGGGTCTTGCACAGAGCTGAGGGACAAGTGGGGCTGAGGTCCAGCCCATGCATTACAGCCAAATCTAGCCCTGGTGAGAACCTGTGTCTGTCTAGAGGATGGCCATCTCCTTCTAACTCCCCCGCAGGCACACCATGGCCTCCCAAGAGCCCTGATACCTGCTCTTAAGGCCTGACATGGGTTTAGTACAGAAATCATCTGCCTGCTGGGAAAATGAGGAGCCTGGAGAAAGGGCACCAGGCACAGGGCAGGGTGGATGGGAATCTCTAGGGCCGGTCTAGTGGAGCCGGTGAAAGAGACATGGCAGACAGGGTGTGGGGTGGTGGCCCACTCCACACCTGCCTATGGGTCTACCAACCAGTGGGGACACTGCCAGAGCCCCAAGGCTGGGAGGAAGCCCTCTGACGGTTATGCAACTCAATGCACAAGCCTGGTTTCTCTGGAAGACCTCAGAACATACAGCCTGAAGGTTGACCTTGTTCTTGACTTGTTGAAGACACGGTGTGAGGAGCACAGCCTCGGACCTGCTGGGGCTGACACCCCACTCCCGGACAGCTAAACTGTACCCCAACAGGCTCTCCCACAGGCAGACATCATGGTACCTTCTGTGACCTTCTCAGACCCACCTGTTCTCCTTGGAATGTTAGCACCAGGACGGCAGAGCTCTGTTGCGTTCACTGCAGTACCCCACGTGCCTAATACAGTGCCTGGCACTTAGGCCCATAATCACTTTTTGTTAAATGGGTGATTAAATGAGCTCTCGTGACCCTTGTCTCTCTCTCTCTCTCCTGTGTGTCTATATGTTTTTGGGATCACAATAGTCTGGGGACCAGAGGACCAAATATTGGGAATCAGGGGGGATGGGCACAGTGACCATAACCTTGGCCTGTCCCCAGGTGTTGCCTCCTTCCTCTGGCTGAAGCTCCCAGGTACCTGCACTCTGAACCTTGTTTCAAGACAGCTTCCTTGTTTCCGCAGCCCGTTTCCAACAAGGAGGAAAAACACCTTAGGTCTGCCCTCCGCCCCAGTTCCAGCAGCAGCTAGAGTCATCACTTCTTCTTCTCCCTGGGCATCTCTGGGCTTGTTAATGAACCTGCTGCTCCCCGCACCGTGTACACCTGAGGAACGCTTTTCCTTCCCAAATGAGCTTTCGTTGACCATCCGTCACCATCAATCTGGGAAAATCGCTGCTAGGCCCCTCCTAGTCCTTACGAACCCCAACCTCAGGTACCCTGGCAGAGTATGAGGACAGCAGGAGCCTGAAGCTGGACGGGAGAGTGGGCAGCACGTTCCTGATCTGCCCCTCCGCATCCTTGTTCCAACCTTTTGGCTTGGTTGGAACTTGGTTGGAACTCCCAAGCTGGGAGGCACAAGCCATGCACGGGATATTGGGGCTCCCTTGCCTCTGGCTTTGGGAGGAGAGTGCAGGGGAGTGTTCCCCCCTTAGCTTCCTTCCTGCGGGCTGCGGGGAGGTAGCTGCCTTCCTTCCTAAAAGCCACAGCTCCTGCCAGGCAGCCCTGTCCTCACCGCGTCCCCCTTCCCAGCTCCCATACCTGCTTTCCATACCTGCTGGGCCCAGGAGGGGAAGGGCTTCCCCAGCTGCTGTGCTGGTGGTCTCACCATCCCCGCCAGTTTCCTTTAACCCCGCCCACCCCTTTGTCAACAGTCCCTCACCAGCTACCCTTCCTCCACCCCATCTGAGCAAACCAGTCTGCTTCCTGCTGGGACCTCAAGCAGCTACATTGTCTGGTCTCTGGGTCGATAGTCATGAGAACAATCCAGAAAGAGATTGCAGGGCTCCGGGGCACGAAGAGGAGACAGGGGCAGGGAAGTAAAGAGGAAGAGCCAGCGCCAACAGCTTACAGTAAGCTTAAGCGGGAAATGGGAGAGGGGGTGCTTTGTTTCTCCAGGCCTCACTCCTCACAACCCCAGTGGGGGCAAATCTGCTCTCAGAGCCTTAAGAACCACCTGAGTGCCCTGGGTAGGGGCAGAGAATGGCAGGTTCTGAGTCGGGCTTGATTTCCAGTTGAGCCATCCCCGCCGGGCTGAGCACCAGGGGTCGCCCCAGATGGCTGTGCAGGCCACGCACTGTACAACTCGAAGGGTGTCATTTATGCCACAGTCTATGTACGTGGCATTCCTTGAGCAGTGTGTCAGCTGCACGGACATTTGCGGGGGCCCCGTGGACTATCATTTGCTTGCTTCCGTGTTTTCCCCCCAAAAGCAGAAAGAAAGGACCGGCAGGAGGAAGAAGAGAAGGTGACAGAGGGAGGTTGAGAGGCAGATCTAGCCCCAAATTTTTTCAGGTTCTGGGCCCGGCCAGAGCCGCCCAGCACTTCCCCAGACCCCATGGGAACCGCAGGCTGGACTGTTTCACCGGATGACTCAGAACCCAAATCCTTTCTCTTAGGAAAAACAAAAAACAAAACCCGAAAAACAATCCATAAGCAGGTGCAGAGTAGACTGAGCTCTCTCGGAGGACGCTGGTATCAATTCTCCATAAATGAAGCCGGGCCCCGGCCCCCGAGGGGGATGCTGTGAGCAGCTCTGTGTGTGTCTTAGCTAATGGGAAAGGGAAAGTGGCTTCAAAGCGGGCATTTCTTCCATTTCCGGGCCCTTCCCTTGCTGCGGCCCCATCCTTCCTCCCAGGGAGGTATTCACAGGCCCAGCGGTGAAGATCCAGCTTTAGGGTGTGGAACAAGGTTTGTCCTTGTCCAATATATGCTGTGACTTCCCGTCGGGGGACCAACCCAGCCACAGGGCCTGGGCATAGACGGGGGCTCCCCCAGCTGGTGCCGTGAGCACGGACAGCCCACGCATCAGAGCCGGCTCTGCCACCCCTCCTTGCCTTCTCCCCCAGGCAGCCTGAGGATGCCACTTCTTCTGAATTTTCCAGAATAGAATGCTGGGTGTGTTGGGCGGGGGTGGGCAGGCCCAAGGCTGGCAGGGCAATGTATTTAGGGTGTCATGGCCGCCCCGGGATGCTTGGCCTGGGCAAGCCTATGTCTAACCTCCTTACCCGGGGTCCAGCAGCAGCGATCAGTGACTCTGAAACTAGTCATGACCAGCAGCCCTGGGGAGGGGGACGCCCACACCATTACCAGCCTCAGTCTCCCCAGACATGGGCCTACCCACCAAAGAAGCCCACTGGGAGACTAGCACGTCACGGCAGTGTCGGACCAAAGTCCATCCTCTGGACTAACAATTCTGAATCGAAAAGGGAGAGAAAGAGCCTCCGGAGAACGCACCCCCTTTACGCGCATGGGGCCAGGCTTTCCTCCAGCAGCATCCCCCTCTCCCCTACACACGCCAAGGAAGTGAAAGATTCCTGACACTTACGAAGGAGATACTCGGAGCTGTCGTGGTCATAATCATTGTCCTCTGGGAAGTGATTGATCCGGAAGCAGTGGCCTTTATAGATCCCTGGGGAGAGCAAGAGGGAAAGAACATGGTAAATGTTGCATGGGGCATGGGTTCACGCACCTGCTCCCTCCAGCCTTGTGTACGGCGTGTGTGCCAGGCTCTGGGCAGGCCCGGGCATGGAGAGAGGAGAGAGGCCTGCTCTGGCATCCCTGGTCTATGCGGGAGCGGGCACACACACAGAAGGACCACGCAGAGGGACAAGCGCCAGGGACGGGACCCTCTTGGTCATGGTCCACGTCGGGGCACCTGCAAGTGTGAAAGGCCCACCATCAATAACTATGCGGGGACAAAAGCTGAGCTGCTCAGGGCAAGCAGGACGTTCGATCCACTGGATCCCCCGGCCCGTCTGGTCCAAGGGGACTGCAGAGCCAACTCGAAAAATGACAAAGAATTTGCCCCTGGGAACTGTGAGAGGGGACCTTCCGGGTGGAGGAGGAAGCCGAGAAAAGGGAGGGCTGGGGTCCGAGCCCGGGGAGTGGTGGGAAGTTCCGTGGCTAGACTCGGTAGGGCCTGGGGGCCGTAGTGGGGCAAGGTCTGGGTCTGGGTCTAGGTCGGGGTCCGGTGAGTCGGGGTGAAATCTTACCCTGAGATGTCTGTGTCTTTCCTCTCTCCTAAACACTCATAAATCCCTCCTAATGTACACTCCGAACCTGCAGTGAGCAGCGTGATTCTGATCCCCTCACTCAGTGTGATGGAGGGAAGACAATATGGAGCCGGAGAAAATTCCAGAAAGGCCGAGACCACCTCCTGCCTGCTTTCCCTTCCCCGCTCTGAGCGGTAGCCTCTGCAGAGGGGGGGACGCAGGACACCCAGGGTAATTTTGCAACTGCAGGAGGAGAGGCCAGGCCTTCCTTCCAGAAGCTTCTGCCCTGCTCTCCTGGCCCCTGCTCCCCTATAGTCTGGGAACACCCAGCACAGAAGTGGACACGGGTGGAGAGCAGGGCCCCCAGGGTGTCAGGCCCTGCCCTGCCCTGCCAGCCCAGCCCCTCACGCCCAGCTCGGCCTCCCTGCTTCGGCAAGGAGCTCGTCTTGATGGCGCCGCTTGGCTGGGGCTGGGGCTGTTTCCACCGGGGCCAGTTCTTGTTTTGCTGCTGCTGCTGCCAAGCATCCCGCTGGCCTCCCACAGCCCAGCCTGACCTCTCAGTCGGAGGCAGAGTCAGAAGCAGGGCGTGCGCCAGACCGGCATCTGTCTCTCGGTGCTTCCAATCAAGAGAGGCCTCTGATGAGCTCGGGGCACGCTGCCCTTCCACCTGTCCTCCAGTTAGCCGGCTCGCCCGCGGCCTCCCCACGCTGTCCCCTCTGCCTTAGCTGCTGCCTCCAGAAAGCCGGGGAGCTGGGGGAGGACCCCCGCTTCCCGAAGGCCCAGGACCCTTGAGGACCCATTGGTAGGTGGGCTGGATTTGGTCAGGGAGCGGTAGGAGGACAGACTGTGGGTCTCAGAGGTCATGCCCTGAGTGGGATAGGGTTTGACAGTGTCCGCTGTGCTGGGCCAAGCAAGAACGACTCCATGTCCTCATCCGTAGAATGGGAACAACTACATGCTTTGTCTGCTAGGGATGTCAGAAGAATCACGAAGGGCAACACTTAAAACGCACTCAGATGTGCCTGGGTCCCGGTGACGGTTCGGGAAAGGCTCGCTGCCACTGGACCCAGAAACTGCCCATCCTTTACGCCGAGGGTCCTGACTCCTCTCTGAGCACCTGGGTCGGTGGAGAAGCACGAGAGGTCGTGAGTGAGAGGAGAGAGCACAAGGGTGGGCATCAACGGGTCCCACAGAGGCCAGAGGGGACCAGCCACACCTTCTCCTCAGGCCGGGCTGTGGGAGCCCAGAGCCGGGGTGTTTGTGGAAACACAGAGTGTTTTCCAGATGGGCGAGGCGGGCCAAACCCTCTACCGTTCTTCCCTCTCCCCACTCACCTTTTTTGGGTCATTTTATGGGCCTCACCCAAGTCACCAAATCACATGTGCTTGTTGGAAACAAGTCAAATAGTCAGAGGTTGACAACGAAAAAGTAAATAATGTCTCTTCAGACTCGTTTTCTAGAGGCCAACGATGTGTGTGTCCCCACGTCTTCCTCTGTGTGCGCACCGGCACGTGTCCACCTACGTGAGTTTCCCCCATTTTTTTTTTTTTTAATTGAACTTTTTGCTTGGAGATAACAGTAGATTTGCGGGCAATTGTAAGAGATAATAATACATATACCCTCTGCCCAGTCTCCCTCAACGGTCACATCTTGCAAAACTGCAGTCTCACAACCAGGATGCTGACATGGCCACAGTCGAGAGAGAGAGAGAGAGAGAGAGAGAGAGAGAGAGAGAGGGGATGTTTCCAGCACCACCTTCCTCCTGCCTTCCCGGCGTCTCCTTGACCCACGGCACCTGCCAAGCTGTTCATTTGCAGAGAATTGTCATTTCAAGAATGTCCTTTGGCTCTTTTCTCCCAGCATTGTTCTCTTAAGGTTCATCCACGGTTGTTATGTGTATAAACACTTTCTTTTTATTGGCCAGCGCTATGCCACGGTATGGAGGTAACAAGGTTTGGGACATCTGACTGTTCAAAGCGATTACAGCTGCGACGTCCTGCTATTTCTAATAATGTTGCCGCGAACATTCACAGGCGAGTTCTTGGGTGAGCCTAAGTTTTCATTTCTCTGGGATAGATGCCCAGGAGTACGACTGCTGAGTCACATGATAGGTTGGTTAGTTTTATTAGGGACTCCTAAAAGTGATTTCGAAGATGCCTATTTTTTTTTTTAAAGATTTTATTTACTTATTTGACAGAGAGATCACAAGTAGGAAGAGAAGCAGGTGGGGGGGTGGGGAAGCAGGCTCCTCACTGAGCAGAGAGCCTGATTCGGGGCTCGATCCCAGGACCCTGAGATCATGACCTGAGCTGAAGGCAGAGGCTTTAACCCACTGAGCCACCCAGGTGCCCCGAAGATGCCTATTTTTTGAATGGAATTATGCTTTATGCATCATCCATAACCTGCATTTCTCATTTAACAATATGTACGAACATCCTTCCAGGCCAGTACCTATAGATTTAACTTCTAGAAAAAACTTTTGTCTATTTTTCATAAAAAATAACAAGTTGATACGAATCCAACAGTTGCTGGAAATCCCAGCCAGAAACCCTAGCCTCTAGACCAGGAAGCTCGCTCCGGCACTGACGGCGTGAAAGGAAAACATGCCCTTGGTAGAAATGAGGAAAGAAATATATTTATATATTCAACCTGAAAACAACACTTGGGTTTTGACCTGTTAGCTTGCATACGGATATCTTTGCTCCAAATGCTCCTGTAGTACGTCTTGCTGCCCTCAACTCTACATTTAGGAGAGAGAGTTAATATTTGATAAAATCTGTACATAGAACTCACACTGTCCAATGTATCGACGGTTTTTTTTTATAAAAGATTTATTTATTTATTTATTTGACAGACAGAGATCACAAGTAGGCAGAGAGAGGGAGGAAGCAGGCTCCCTGCTGAGCTGAGAGCCCAATGTGGGGCTCGATCCCAGGACCCTGAGATCATGACCTGAGCCTGAGGCAGAGGCTTAACCCACTGAGCCACCCAGGCGTCCCATATCGACGTTTTAAAAGCCGTTCTTTTGCGTGGTTGCATAGCCACCCACAGTCATGTTTTGTCATTTCAGTTGGCCCACAGAATCCCTTTCTTGGGGCCATGTGCACACACTGGGAATCCCACCACGTCCTATTACGCTCTGAGGAATTTTGAATCCACACGTGCATTGTGCGTTGACTCCTTTCCCTTTCCTTTCTTCCTTCCTTCCCTCTTTCCACTTTGGGCCCTTATCCACAGACAGAAGGGATGGGCATTGTTGGGGGTTGAATTATGTCCCCCTGAAAGATGGGTTAAAGTCCTAACCCCTGGTACCCGTGAATGAGACCCTGTTTAGAAATAGGACACCTGGGTGGCTCAGTGGGGTAAGCCTCTGCCTTCGGCTCAGGTCATGATCTCAGGGTCCTGGGATCAAGCCTCGCATCGGGCTCTCTGCTCAGCGGGGAGCCTGCTTCCCTCCCTCTCTCTCTGCCTGCCTCTCTGCCTGCTTGTGATCTCTGTCAAATAAACAAATAAAATCTTAAAAAAAAAAAAAAAGAAAAAAAGAAATAGGGTCTTAAAGACCTAAGCAAGTTAAGATGAGGTCACCCTGAATTCGGGTGGGCCCTGAATTCGGGGACCAGTGTCCTTATTAAAAAAAAGGGGGGATTGTGGAAAGAGACACACACAAGGGAGAAGGTCATGGGGAGACAGAGACAGATCCTGGAGTGACAGGTCTACACACCGAGGGAGGCCGAGGATTACTCGCCACCACCAAAAGCTAGGGAGAGGCAAGGAAAGATCCTACCAATGTCTCAGAGGGGCCACAGCCCTGCTGACACCTTGCGTTTAGACTTCTGGCCTGCACCACTGGGAGACAAGACATTTCTGTTGTTCCCACCCAGTTCGTGACAATTCGTCACGGTGGCCCTAGGAGGCTCATACACGTGTTGTGCTGTGTGGGAGAAAATGCAGCGTGCCTCCCTCACTCCCGAGGGGGGACCGCAGCCCTACAGAAAGGTGAAGGCGCCCTGCCCAAGGTCGTGTTCCATCTTCCTGCTCCTCCGTCAGCTGTGGGAGCCCATGGGCAAAACTAAGAAGTCGGGTTCACTGGGCACCTCCTTGTTAATTGTGCTGGAGTGAAACTCCTGTGGTCTCTCAGGCCCAGGCTTCCAAAGCAACTTGGCCAGTCCCCATCGGGGTCCCAGATCCTCTCCTGATTCTCTCGCATTTTGGTATCTGCTGGCCACGGGGACCTCATCACCTCCCCAAGGCATTCCATTTTTAAACAGCTTTAACGTTGAACTTCCTGAAGTTCCTGCCTCCCTCCACTGGTGCTACTCACAAGCTCTAGGAATGAAAGAATCCCTTTGCCATGCGCGGACCTTCGAATCACTGAATGTGTCTGACAGGATGGAAGTCAGAGCTACTTTTCCAGCTG